CTGCGCCCGGGGTGGTGGCTGCCAGGCGGTACCCGGGGCGATGCCGTGGGCTCTGCCTGTCCTGCCGACCCCAGACAGAACCGAGTCATCGCTGGGCTTCGTTTTGGCACCGTTAGTGTGAAATCTGACTCCGTTCCTGATTCAGAGGGAAAGGAGGGAATTTCCTTTAGTTATAATGGTTTGGGGATGGTTTTTTTTTTTCAACCCAGTACGGTCATGATCTTGTGATGTGCGATGCTAGATAGGGATGGGTGCTGTCCCGAAATACAGCTTGTATCACGCAGAGATGTAACAGACCTTTTGGAAAGGTAGCCCCGTTCCTGCCAGACAGCACTGTCCGGGGCCGCGGTGCAAGGGAAGAGGTGACATCTCAGATGTGAGAAACCATTTGGATAACACCCTCTTCTGTGCATCTCGTTTTGGAGAAACTACCTGAGAAAAAATGACTTTAGTGGTGAAGGAGAGACACTGGGGAGAAGCAAAATGAGAAAAAATCAATTTTTTTTTTCATACCCTCCGCTGACACTGATGCATTTGTCCAGTGTTGCTTCAGCACTGACTGTTCTGATTTCAATAAGACCATGACTTATTTCAACCCAGCTCTTCCTCCTCCTCCTTCCTGAACTCGACAGTGAATGTGTAATCCTGTGTTTACACTGTATGTTCGGCCGGTTGCCTTGGGGATGGTTGTGGTGACTCAGAGCTGGCGTTATTTGACCTCGCTGCAGGATTAGCCCTGAACAAGAGACAGTGTGTGGGAGACCAGCCCTTGTTTAAACATCCAGGCACTTAGCAAGTGCTCTGCAAGGCAACTCAGCTTTTAGCTAGAATCATAGAATGCTTTGGGTTGAAAGGGACCTTTAGAGGTCACCTATCCCAGCTCCCCTGCAGTGAGCAGGGACATTTTCAACCACACCAGGTTGCTCCTCCTTCATGTCCAGCTTTGAGCACCTTTACTTTGTCCCTGCAATGCAAGGCATGTTGCAGGTCCCCGGCAACACAGCCGCTCCTTGGGGACATCTCAGATGGGTGAGGGAAGGGCCGATTCACTCAGGAGCACACCGAGCTCCTCCGTCAGCCTCCTTGAACCTCCCCTGCTTCCCTCCTGGGCTTGGAGGCTCCTCTCTCATCCTTGTCCCTAGTCCTCAGAGTTTTATATGGTCCCCAGGGGACTGCAGATGAAGTCCGTCAGGGGCTAGGGTGACCATAATTCAGTTGAGACTAATGTAAAAACAAAACCAGATTTTTAGGGGCTTTTTTTTTTACTTTTTCAGTAGTTTTGGTTATGTATGGAGGCGTAAAAAACAAAGTATTGATTTGATTACACCTGCTGCAAAAATTAAGTAGAATGTTTTAGCAAAGCTTTCAAAGGAAATCACATTTAAAAAAAATCTCTTAACAACATAAGTTGGTTTTAGATGAGCTAGTAAAGAAAATGGAATGGAAAGGAAATGTAAACTGTCAGAATACCTCCTAAATTCTCTTTGTGTGTGAAAATTTTCTATATCCTGAAAGACTTTACCTAAATAAAAGCTTACCACTGCAGAGTCAAGTGACTGGTGCATTTTATGTAATTACTAGAGTAATCTGCCTCTTTCTTATGCTATCTTTATCATCAGCCTTAAACATTAAATATATATACTTAACAGTGCTGCTGAAATCTAAGCTTTTGATTCTGTAAATAATGAAAGAAAATATTTCTGGCTGTAAATTTATGGGAGCAGCTTTTTATACCTGAAGATGTGGCTAAACAGATTCACTCAGAGGACAAAATACCTACCTGTGTTTTTGTACTTGCTCTGAAGGGTGGGATGGGGTGGTTATCCTGCCCCGCTATTGACTGTGTTATGAGTTTAAGGGAAATAATGTCCCCTTGTAAGAAACAGATTCTTATCTGAGCTGACCTGTCATAACTTCAAGTATCAAAATAAGCTGCTGAATTACAAGAATTCGGCAGTGGATGATGCTCTGTGTGCTCCTGGTAATTCTTTTGCCAGCCTAAGGACAAATCAGGTAACATTGTCCAACAAAAATTCTGTTTACCTTGGTGAAAAGACACTTAAAACTTACTTAACCGTTGCTTTACTGTCACTATTAAAATGCTTCAATTTCTAAATGATCTGTTTCAGTTCTCCATAACTGAAGAAGTTTTCCGTGGTAGCAGAGGCACTCTGTGGTTAGAATCATAGAATCATAGAATGGTTTGGGTTGGAAGGGACCTTAAAGATCATCTGGTTCCAACCCCCCTGCCATGAGC